GTTTTTTTTTTTTTTTTTTTTTGTCTTTTTGTCTTTTTTTTCGTGCCTGGCAATGGATCGCAACCCTCGGTGTTGTGCCCGCACCACGCTCAGCCAGTGAGCGGGAACTGGTCTGCATGTGGGATCCGAACCCTCGGCGGGAGCGCAGCCGCACTTCCCAAGTGGCGCACTGTAGCAGTGCGCCACCGGGCCGGCCCTAAGCGATCTTAAAGACACTATATAAAGACATGGTTTAAATATAAGGAACTGACAGAATGAATGACCTCTATATGATATATCTTAAATGTCCATATTCTTTTCCATTTTCCATATAAAAAATGAATGAGTGAATAAATATGCTATAAAAAAGCCACAGAAGCAAGGCCATGAAACAGAGAGGTAACAGGTTTAAAATAAAGACCACTGATAATACACATCACCAGTCTTGCAAATTTTTAAAAATAACATTTGGTTTTTCTTCTGATTATAAAAGTGATACAAAGTAGTAGAAAATTATAACAACATAAAACAATATAAAATAGCAAACAAAAATCATCCATTATCCTATTGGCCATGCTCTTAACACACTGGTATATAACCAATCTTTCAGTTTTTTTTCTATGCATGCACATACACAGAATTAATTTTTAACACAAATTTGGGATATTCTTTCGTACTAATTTTATTCTACTTAAATTATAAACAGGAGCTGGCCAGTTAGTTCAGTTGGTTGGAGTGCAGCCTTATAACACCAAGGTCACTAGTTTGGATCCCTCACCCCCCATAACAGCCAGCCGCAAAAAATAAACAAACAAACATATTCCTATGGCATTAAAGACTACTTTATAACAATTTTTAACTCTTGCATAATAGTTCATTTTAAAGATCAAAATTTAATCATTCCCCTAATTGGTTCTACTCTTATATAAGTAACACCCTTTTTATATGTATCTAGGTACCTATCTAATTATTTATTTAGAAGAAATTTCTAGACGTACACTTGCTGGACCAAAGATAAAATCTTTACAAGGTTCTTGAAATATACTGTCAAAGTATTTTTATTCTAATAAGAAAGGCTGTTCAATTTATATTCCTATCAGAAGTATGTGTTAATGCCTTCTTCCTAAATTCCTCGTCAATACTTTAATCTTCACTAATTTAATAAGTGAAAAATGTTTCATTTTAATTCATATTTATCACTAAGACTAAACATCTTTTTCTTATATACTTAGTTTTCCTTTGTTTCTTCATTTATGAATTACTTATTTTGCTTAATTCTTCTATAAATTGTCTAATTTAATATTTGTGATAGTCATTTTTCTTATGGGGTTGTATGAGATTTTTATATATTAAAGGTATTAGTCTCTGTCATATATGTTGTAAATATTTTTCTCAATACATTACCACAATTTGATTTTTTAAATTATTTTCCCCCCAGGTGTATCCAAGCATAAAATACAAAAATTGTATATATTTATGGTGTACAACATGATGTTTTTATGTATACATTGTGAAATGATTACCACAACCAAGCTAATTAACATATCCATCACCTCAAGTTATTTTCTTTTTTGTGGTGAGAACATTTAAGATCTACTCTTTTAGCAATTTTTAAGCATATAATACATTATTATTAACTATAATCACCATGCTGTACAATAGATTTCTAGAACTTATTCTTCCTATCTCAAACTTTGTACCCTCTGACCATCAACTCACCATTCCCCACCCCAACCCCTACTGTTGAAGCCACTGTTCTATTCTCTACTTCTTTGAGTTCAACTTTTCTAGACTTCACATATAAGTAAGATCATAAAATATTTGTCTTTCTGTGCCTGGCTAGCACAATGTCCTCCGGGTCTCTTTTTTCTTCATATAGGTTTTTATTCCACTTAGATTTCAGTTTGATATATGATATAAAAAAACCTAACTTAATAATTTTCTACAAAGTCAATCAATTCTACCCACATCACAAATTGAACAAACAATTCTTTTTCTAATTATGTAAAATGCCATATTCATCTTTAATGAAATCTGTACAAATTATGTATTATTATTTGTTTATGGTCTTTATATTCTCTTCCATTACTGAGTTTATTTTTGAAAAAGTACAATAATTTTAATTACTCTGTCTTAATAGACATTTAAATAAAGTATAATGTTCCTTAATTTTTTCCCAAGAATTTCTTAGCTGTTCTTTGAAACTTTAATCTTTCTAATAAAATTTAGAATCAATTTTTGATGTTAAAAAATAAATCAGTGGTTTTTAGTATATCCATAGAGCTGTGAAGCCATCAATGTTATCTAATTTCAAACATTTTCATCATCGCCCAAATAACCCCATTTCTATTAGGAGTCACTCCTCACTTCTTCCTCCCCAGCCTCTGGCACCCATTAATTTGCTTTGCATATTCTGAACATGTCATTTAAATGAGATCATACAATACACACATGGGGCCTTTTAAATCTGGCTGCTCTCAATCATCATAACGTTTTCAAGATTCATGATTCATCCATGTTATAGCATGTATCAGTAC